CCCTGCCACCCTCCCCTTCCCGCCCCTTCCCCTCCCCCCACCAGCCGGATCTGGGTTCTTGGGCGCTTATTGTTTTAATGAAATTTTGGACGGTGGTGGTTGTGGTCCTGAATGTGATTTTAGCTGCGAGTTACGTGTCCTCGCTCCTCCCGGGCTCCCTCGGAGGGTTTTCAGAGAGGTCTCAGTGCATCCATTTTCTCAGACCCTCTCCTTCCTTCGGGGGAAAGATCTGGGGCCCTGCGGTCGCCTTGGAGCGGGAAGGCCTTCGGCTCCGGCTCTCAGAGGGGCTGCGCGGTGGCCGGGGGAGCTCCTTTTTTCCAAGTCCTGCTTTACTTGCAAAGCACAATTGATAGGAAAAACCTGTCAGGAATCTTTCAAGACATTTCATGGAATTTATCCCGGGCGGCGGCGGCGGCCGTTCCGGGCTGGACGCCGTAAGGGGAGTCGGCGGATTTTCCCGGCAGGATCTCCATGTACAGCTACATGTTTAGGGCCGCTCGGGTTAATATATGTCGTCAGAGGCCCCTCACGCCAATCCCGGGGCGGCGGGGGCGGCGCCTCGCGCTCTCCGCAATAAAACTTTTTGATGTTCTTCTTGCTAATTGCCGAGGTCCTCTTCCAGGATTGGCTGCCCCTTCATAACCATAAGATAATTAAAACGAGGGGGGGGCAGGGTTAAAAAAACTTTTTTATCAGCCAGAGGTTAATGCAAGTGTTTAACAGATGCTTCATTATTAAAATATTTTCCCCCCCAACTCTCAAATATTGAAGAATCTCAGACCAGGTACAGTATCTCTCCGCTTTTTTCTTTTCTGCCTTTTTTTTTTTTAAAGGTCCGCAGATATTGCTTTTCGGAGTGTTTGGTGGTAGGTAATCGAGGCAAGGCATTCCGCAGGCCGAAGGGTGCAGTTTTGTGCCGATGGAGAGCAGAGGCGGCGGGCCGCGGGGGGGCCCCCACAAAGGGGCGGCTGAGCCCAGGCGGACGCGGGGCGCGGCGGGGAAGGCTGGTGCGTGGACCTGGGCACGGGCTGGAGACTCCTGGCTGGGGTCCCTTCACTGACCCACCACCTTGGTGTGGCTCCTGCGATCGTGGCTGCTTTGGGAGATCACGATGGAGACCCGCCGATTGTAAATCCTATCTCCATATTCTGCAGGGACACCAGCCCCTCCGAAGACCTTGGGCGATTTCAAAGCGCAGGCACCTCGATTCCCCGAATCTGTGGTGTAGCGGGTCCCGGTGTTCCCCTGCTTTAACTAGCCTGTTTGGTAAGTAACTGAATCTTTTTTACAGCGTGTTCAGAGCTTATTTTCCAGTTTTTATGAACAAACATATAAATATATCTCTACATTCCTGCCTCTCCCATAAAAGCGGGCATCTGTGGAAGGCAGGTTTAGTTCTCGGAGGGGAACCATTAAACACCAGTTTAAGAGGCAGGCCAGAAGGACGGCTCGTGGATGTTTAGATTGCTGGCCTTGGTGATCTTGAACGCATTAGAACGGAAAATGGATCTCCACTTGGACGTCGCCGGCCTCGGGGCACCCAGGCCAGGGCGCCCCTGTGGCGTGAGCGTCTCTGAGAAGGATCAGAAGGATCGCAGGAGGCTAGTCGGGTGAGGGGACGGTGGGATTGGACAGTGGCGGGAGCTGAAGCCATCCATCGGGCTTCGCCCAGAGCGGCCAGGGGAGGCTGATATATATATATATATATATAGATATAGATGAGGGTGGTAGATGAGGATTCTGTTCGATGGAGTTCAGTTTGGGAAAGGATGTCAGCAGAAGCCCTCTGGCCATCAATTTGAGGGACGAGAGGGCAGAGTGTGCAGAAGAAGGAGTGGGACACGGTGCTGGTCCTAACCAGGGTCGCTCAGGGAAGACCAATGACGACTCCGCCTGGGTCATCCACTATCCTTGGAGGCAGGCCGCAAAGCGATTCCCCGGGACTCCAGGAGGACAATCCTCTCCTCGCCCTCTGGGTGCGTTCTGTGGGGGTACATCATGCAGGGATGGAAGGCATGGTCAGGGCAAATGGAGAGCAGGGTTGGGGGGGGGGGTTGTCCAACTCCGTTGTTGCCAAGGATCTGAGGCACAGAGCCCTGGGCAACAGCGCTGAGAAATAAGTTTTAGGTTGGCTGCGGCAGGGCAGTAGGAGAGGGGAAGAAACTCAGAGAGGGATGTAGGCTGGGAGTCCATGCGAGGCCTGTTCAGTTCCCTCCGTGGGTCAGTTTCCCTGGCGGCCTGTCCCTGGTCAGAACGTCTTAAGGCAGAGAACAGGGAGTGGAGAGCAGCTGAAGCCAGATTCATTGGTAAGTGCCTGGGGCTTGGATTTGGGCTGGGAACAAAATCGGGATCTAGAACTTAGAAGCTCCAACGTTGGTGGGTCTGCAATTTTGAACATAAGGAGAGTCCTTTTAAGACGTTGTTCTTCTAAGAAAGAATATAGGTAGTGTGGTCTGGGTTCTGTTTACATTTTCACCGGGAGGCAAACCCTGAATGTGTAAATATTGGTAGTTCAATCCCCTGACATTTGATACATTAAAAAAAAAAGTCTGTTTATAAAAACACATCTAGGCCTTGGGAGTATGTAGACAAAGTAAGATGGTTGCACCCTGGCCGGGAACAGATAAAATTCACGGAGAGTAGTTGGTAGTCTGCTTCCAGACCCAAAGGGAATTTGGGGAATTGAGCGGAGGAGGAAGGGGCCCAGGAGAGGGCTGAGTTGGAGATTGGGATGCTGTGTCCATCACAGGCCAGTGGCCTCCGTGGCGAAGGCTTCAGAACTGGCCTTGCCTTTCTCGTGATCTTTAATTGAAACAACACCCACAAAAATGAGCGAGTCCCTGCATGGTCCCAGATAGCATGGCAAGTGATAAAAAAAAAAAAGACGGACAACATGGGACAGAAAAAAGTCGTAAAAGATGCTAATCTGAGCATCAGTTCTTACTGACAGTGTCATTATCAGTTAATTAATGTGGTCCAAGGGTCTAGGGCTTCATTTATCTCAGAAAGCCAAACCCAGAGGCCACAGCCTAGAAAGGCAGCGGCTTGGAGGCAGGGGACAGATGGGTGAACTCTGCTGTCTTTAGCTGTAGTTACTGCCTCAGAGAAGCCAGACTAGCTGAGCGCCACTCTGAATTCTCAATCAAAGGCAGCCAGGTTCCCCGTTCCCCGCTCAGTGCTCTTTGGCTCATTTTGCTCCAGGTGCAGTGGGATGCTGGGTTAGCTTGCTGTTCTGGAAAGCTGTGAGGCAAAGATGCCATGTCGAGTTCGCCCCCAGTTTAGGTACCCTGTGCCTTCCAGAGGCGGCAGTGATGAAAGTGATGGTAGTGGCAGTGATGGAGGGGGAAAGTAAAGGGGAAAAAGGGAAGGAGGTTGTAGCTCCAGGCTTAGATGTCAGCCTGGTGACCCCTCCCCAGGGCTGAACTAGTGTGGCCTCTGGGGCACTGCTCCCCAAAGGGCATATTTTCTGAGTACTCAGAGGGCCCCAGCTGCTGAGATGATTCTGGCTGGGGGGCAGCCCTAGGGTGGGTGCCCACAGGAGGAATCCTGGCAAGGGCATTACTTCCTACTTCTCCTTTTCCTAGGCTGGGGGGCTGCAACTTGTCTTTTCCCGGGTCAGTTTGGAGACCCCTTTACAGGGGGGCCGCCCTGGTTTGGGGGGATGTTTGTGATTCTGTGTCCACGGTCTTTGTCGTAGCTGATGGTGTACTCACTGTGCTGCTCATGACATCTGCCTCCAACTAAACAGACAGAACCAGGTTCAAACATTTATTGTGCGCTCATGTCCCTGTCTCTCTCCCTTCACTCCCACCCCCTCCCCTGGAAAAGATTCAAAGAGCACGAGAGAGGCTGAGCCCTCCCTTGCAAACATGTTGGTCTTGTGAGAGACTTTAAAAATCAATCTGGTCTAAACGAAAAAAATTTTTTTAAACCTCAGTGTGTTTTAGGGGAAATACAGGTCTTTTTGAGGTCTTTATAATTCCAAAAGGCAAGGGCAGTTTGTATCTTGTGTTTTGCTCATGAGAACTCAAAATAAACTGGACCTGAAACGAACCAGGCCAAAGAGCCATAAACACACATTTTATGTTTACGGGAATGATGGCTCAATTCCCTTCTTCGTTTTTCAAATCTCGTATTACCTTATTTCCCCAACTAACATAGAAGTCACTGAGCATTCCCTTATATATCTACAATGAGCTTACATCAATCGACCCCCAGAAACCCACCAAACCCAGAAGGTGGCACAAGAAGCAACGTGTTCTTGAAGATGTAACCCAGTCCCACCTGCTCCCAGGACCCTGCTTCCTGTGACAGCGGATGGCTCTGCATTCCTGTCTGTATTTGGGTGGGATGGAGCCATCCTACGTGCTAACCACTTAGTTTCGGAACCCTTAGGACATCCAGAACAAGACACATTGCCTGAGTGCCGGCAAGGGTTTCTCTCGAACTGGGGTTTTGTAGGCCCTCGCTTCCTTGTTTTCCTTTTCGGAAACAGTTGTCTGCAGACCTGGCAAGGGACAGTGGCTCCAGCAAAGAAGTGCCGCTTGCAGTACACATCTACAAAGCAGAATCAAATTCCATCGGACTTTTGTATCTGTTTTAGACATGAAGGGCGGGGGAAAGCTTCCCTTGGGCTCTTATGAGGTTTTATTTCTTCTGAGCATTTTCTTTTTTTTTTTGTATTTTGGGGCGGGGGCAGGGTATTTGAAGAGTGGGCCCTGTTCTCCCCTTTTCCCCATCCGGAGCGGTTCTGTGGGGATGGGGGCGGAGAGGGGCCGATCCAGCTGAGGTGATGACTGTGAAGGGGCTGATTGCTTATGACTCCTTCAGTCCAATGATGATTAAGAAACATCCCAGTCAGTGGACACAATTGGGACTTGCCTGTTGCCTGTATATCTTCCCTCCCCCCTTTCTTGCCCCCCCTCCCCTCCACTTGGTCCCTCTTCTCCCCTGTCTCCTTCCCTCCCTTCTGATTTGCCCTCTAGCGAAGTTTGGGCTGACAAGGTTTTTGATGTTACTGACTGGTCCATCCTAACTCCTCTAAGAACCCGCCCCCCCCCGTTTTTTTTTAAATTGAGATATAACTGACATGCAACATTGTTGTAAGTTTAAGGTATACAACATGTATGCAAAATATTAATATCCAAGATGACTGGCATTGGGAATTTCCACTTCCTCCAAATAATCAATGACTAGCTCTCCATGCTAACTGGAAGATAGTCAGCTGGTCTGAGGGGTTTGCACTGATAAGGGAGAATGAGGTACTTTGTTAGGTATCCAGGTCTGTAAAGCTAAAATACTTATTCAGACTAAAGGGGACAAAAGATAGTGTACGTGAAAGGGCCTCACAAGAGGCAGTATACATGGGAGGTGTTATTAATGTTATTATAGGGGTCCTAAGAGGTCCTGTAAATATGATCTTTGCTACTTTGCAGTAAAATATAGTTTATACCCCACAGGATTTATGTTAACTACTCATCCACATTCTTGTTTCAAGCAAATTGTATACACGCCAGCAATATTTTCTTCCAAGCCGGGAGGAAATCATTCAACATTCAGAGGAGGAAGTAATTGCAAGTTTGCATACATGCTCTGTGGAAACAGTAAGTAATTAACTTCAACGAGTCCTAAATACAGTCCGGGGTGCAGAATAAAATACAAAAGCAAACAGCAACTTAAAACGTGGGGCTCTGGACAAACCATTTATGTGACTGAAGGGTCTGTTTGCGACTTGAGGGCCAGGCCATGCCCACTTCTAACTGCAGTATTGCTCGCATTCCTGGAAGTCCTGTTCTGAAACCCTTTGCAGACTCACATAGAGGGATTTCTTTTGCCCTGGCAGTTCCTTCCAAACCTTTTCTACTTTCTTCTAGGGCCTTTGCGTCTAGTCGAGGGACGTGAGCCAGGATGGTTAGGTTTCAGGTTAACAAAAAGAAACACTTTTATTGTCAATATTAATGGCAAACCTCAATCTTTACAAGGCTTGGGTTTAGCAGCGTGAGCAGATCAAAAGCAGCCTGGCTTGATTTCTCAATATTCTCTGGAGCTTAGACAATTAACTGCAATTTTGCTCCAAACGAAACAACACGCAAAAGTTAGTTACAGAAATGCCACAGCTAGTCTTTCAGCAGAGATTTTTACCTGTGCACACCGTGTCAGAATCTAATAAATTTGCCCACTGAACCCGAGTTGAGTTTTGAAGGAAACCTCCTTAAAGTGTGTGAGCCGAGTGTCTTCATTGGCAATGTCAGGAGCCTGTTTCAGTGTGTGCATTCCACACTCGCCTTTCTGCCTTTCTGGCCGGGCGAGGATCCGGCAGACTGAGGTCTCCCTGGTAATTTGGGTACACCGAGTCTCCAGTTAATGATAGATAATCAGCCCCTGGGTCATTCGGTCATTCTCTTATTACAAACCCCTCCTGCTCTCTCTGATCTCCTTTCAAACTAAATTTCACACAAATAAAGCAAGACAGGGACAAGTTCTTGAGAGAGAGAAAGAGAGAGAGAGAGAGAGAGAGAGAGAGAGAGAGAGAGGAAAGAGAGAGAGAAGTATTAGAAACTCCTGATACAGAACTCTAAACAAGGAAAGGCAAACTAAAAGAGGATAGGAAAGGACATCTTATCAAAATGAACATGTTGTGTACAAAACATGAAAAGGAAAGGCTCTGGTTTTTGTTCGAGTGACAGAAAATTAAAATAAAAATAATTGCAGGCAGAAAAGTTATAAACAGAGAAGGCAGGATGCTTGCGGGAAATGCGCAGCACTGGGAGGCTAATTTGTTGTTACAGATTATATATCTGCCCCGTGATTGGAGAGGGGCGACTTTGTTCCATTTTCCAGCAGAGAATGGTTTTCTTTGAATACTTGTGTGAATGCCCACTTACGTTAACACAGGCCAAAACCTCGAGGAACAAAACGTGGAATTGCATTCTGCTTGCAAAGCATCCAACTTCAAAGACGAAAAGCAGAATTCCATTCAGAACACGTTTGGAGGCTTCTCTAAATCGGTGTGGCGGGTGCTTTTTTGTTTTGCTAACAGAAGGCACAGATCACTCTTGGGGGAGTCCAACCGAAACCAGGCCTCCCCTGGCCCCTCCCCACCCACCCACCTCCGCTTCGGGGGGTCTTCCTTCTTCCAGTCTACATCTGCCTCTGACTCCAGAAAGACAAACTTCAGATTGGCTAAACTGCACTTCTGACCAGATCCCTCTGGGGAGGCGCTGGCTTGTGTGGCTCTAGTACAGCGGTTCTCAACCTGTGGGTCGTGACCCCTTTGGCGGTCGAACGACCCTTTCCCAGGGGTCGCCTAAGACCATCCTGCATATCAGCTATCTACATTACCATTCATAACAATAGCAACATTACAGTTATGAAGTAGCCACGAAAATAATTTTATGGTTGGGTCACTACATGAGGAACTGTATTTAAAGGGCCAGAAGGTTGAGAACCACTGCTAGGAGTTCTGGGGAGAGCGCCCCCAGTGCATGTTCCCACCGCTGTCCTTGACAGTCTCCCTTGGCCCCAGCCCAAGGCTCTGGAAGGGCCTAAATCTAGCCCTAAGGGTGCTGTCGACAAGCCCTAATCTGCAGAGAGACTGGAATTTAGGCTCAGGGTTTGATCAACTCAGTTCTCAAGTTAGAGGAGTAAGCAGGAGATGGCAGCAGGTGCTCAACTGTGGGTCTGACACCCCCTGCCTCCTCAGCATAGCTAGCAAACAGCTCCCCCATACTTCTGTGTTTCTTCTACCCCCTCCCCCAAATGCCTTCCATCCAGGAATCCTTTCCAGGTACAGCTTCCCTTCTCTCTCTCCCACCAACTCAATCTTTTTTCTTTCGAATTCCTTTCTGGTGCCCCTGCTTTGGTTTCTCTAGTAGATCTCGGGGCACTTCCTGTGACTACGGATTCGTGGGGAGCCCCATCAATGCCTTGAACCCTGTAGTAGGTGCTTAAACGACTTGTGTAAAAGGGGCGACTTAGAGCAGTCAGGTGAATCCCGCCTATCCCGGTAGCAGTCGGGTTGGTTTTTATTTTTGAAAGCGACTCGAGCTAGCTCATTAAGGCACCGACCTTTCTCTCTAACTCCTCGGGAGACTCAGGGAAGCCTTCCTCCAATCCATCGCACCGGCATCGGGTCTGCGGCAGCCAGCTTTGGATCCGGGAGGGGGTGCCCTCTCTCGACCTCCTGGGGCCCCGGAGTCCGAGCGGGCACGGAGGGCTCTGGGCTCCCCACGGAGGGGCGCCTCGGTCTTTCTGAGCCTTAGTTTCCCCATCTGAACAATGGGGAGTAATGAGCCCGGCCTCGAGGGTGTTTAGGGAAGATGAACCGATTTCTGGTTGCGCGTAGGAAGTATGTATCTCCTCTGCCTCTCCGGTTTCTCGCCTTCTCTTCCAGGAGCCAGAGGACGCAGCCAGACAACTGCGGGCCGGGTCGCCTCCCCGGGGATCGCAAGGCTTCAGCCCTCGAAGGACAGTGTGCGCCCCAGACTGAGATGCGGGGCTGCAGCCACAGCCCGGGACTGTTAGGGTGCAGGGGGCGCCACCCCGCACTTAGGCCTCTGCGTTGGCTGCTGGGCCGCTCCTGGTTAAAGTCTCCTTTTGATGCCA